TCGATGCAGAAACGTCAGGAGAGAATGCCTCTAGAACATGGCCATATAGCCCGAGAAAACCTACAACAACTCAGTGATTCTGGCCATGAAAGCCTTTGACAATACAATAATAATAATAATAAAACTTTATTTGTACTCCGCTACCATCTCCCCAAGAGACTCGGTGCGGCTTACATGAGGCCAAGCCCACAGCACATCAATAAACAAAGGCAATAACAAATAATCCATACAAAACAGTTAAAATAAAATAAATGAAACTCAAAAACAAAAAATACACAATAGGCAATAAACAATAACAATAATAACATACAAGTCATGCTCCCCATGCTCTATTCTGCCTTGGTTAGACCACACCTAGAATATTGTGTCCAATTCTGGGCACCACAATTGAAGAGAGATGTTGACAAGCTGGAATGTGTCCAGAGGAGGGCGACTCAAAGGATCAAGGGTCTGGAGAACAAGCCCTATGAGGAGTGGCTTAAAAAGCTGGACAAATCATGCTCCCCATGCTCTATTCCGCCTTGGTTAGACCACACCTGGAATATTGTGTCCAATTCTGGGCACCACAATTCAAGAGAGATATTGACAAGCTGGAATGTGTCCAGAGGAGGGCGACTCAAATGATCAAGGGTCTGGAGAACAAGCCCTATGAGGAGCGGCTTAAGGAGCTGGGCATGTTTAACCTGAAGAAGGAAAGGCTGAGAGGAGACATGATAAGGGCCATGTATAAATATGTGAGAGGAAGTCATAGGGAGGAGGGAGCAAGCTTGTTTTCTACTGCCTTGGAGACTAGGACGCAGAACAATTGCTTCAAACTATAGGAAAGGAGATTCCATCACAATGTTTGTATTATATATTACTGTTTTGTAGTATACCACTATACTGTAATATTATTAGTAATATTGGAGCCCCCAGTGGCGCAGTGGGTTAAACCCCTGTGCTGGCAGGACTGAAGACCGACAGGTCGCAGGTTCGAATCTGGGGAGAGCGTGGATGAGCTCCCTCTATCAGCTCCAGCTCCTCATGCAGGGACATGAGAGAAGCCTCCCACAAGGATGATAAAAACATCAAATCATCCAGGCGTCCCCTGGGTAATGTCCTTGCAGACGGCCAATTCTCTCACACCAGAAGCGACTTGCAGTTTCTCAAGTCACTCATGACACACACAAAAAAATAGTAATATTACATGTAATACGAAATATAAAATTATTATATTGTATTATTATTTGTGTTATGCTCTATTACATTATACTATTATCAATATTATCAATATTATATGTGTATACAATACATTAAGATATTAGCACAGCACAATATTAGTATTGTATCTATATATATAAAAATGCTCTGTGCATAATGAGTACCTTAAAAACAAAAGAACCAATGATCGAAATCACACCAAATTTGGCAACAAAACGTCTTGCAACACAAGAAGTGACCATCACTCAAAAAATTATGATTCTATGAGCTAGATGCCTACCAAACCCTTCCAGTATTTTCTGTTGGTCATGGGAGTGCTCTGTGCCAAGTTTGGTTCAATTCCATCCTTGGCGGAGTTCAGAATGCTCTTTGAGAGTTCTGTATTAGGTTCAATTCCATCAGTGGTGGAGTTCAGAATGCTCTTTGATTGTAGGTGAACTATAAATCCCAGCAACTACAACTCCCAAATGTCAAGATTCTATTTTCCCCAAACTCCACCAGGGCATACTGAGTATTCGTGTAGAGTTTGGTCCAGATCCACCATTGTTTGAGTCCACAGTGATCTCTGGATGTAGGTGAACTACAACTCCAAAACCAAAGGACACTTCCCACCCCCTCTCATTTTCTGTTGGTCATGGGGGTTCTGTGTGGGAAGTTTGGCCGATTCTATCATTGGTGTGGTTCAGAATGCTCTTTGATTGTAGGAACTAAATCCCAGCAACTACAACTCCAAAATGTCAAGGTCGACTTTCCCCAAACTCCAATCAGTGTTCACATTTGGGCATATTGAGTTCGTGCCAAGTTTGGTCCAGATCCATCATTGTTTGAGTCCACAGTGCTCTCTGGATGTAGGTGAACTACAACTCCCAAACTCAAGGTCAATTCCCAGCAAACCCTTCCAGTATTTTCTGTTGGTCATGGGAGTGCTCTGTGCCAAGTTTGGTTCAATTCCATCCTTGGCGGAGTTCAGAAGGTTTGGGAGGTTTGGCCCAATTCGATCATTGGTGGGGTTCAGAATGCTCTGATTATAGGTGAACTATAAATCCCAGCAACGACAACTCCCAAATGTCAAGGCCTATTTTCCTCAAATTCCACCAGGGTTCACATTTGGGCATATCAAGTATTCGTGCCAAGTTTGGTCCAAATCCATCACTGAGTCCACAGTGATCTCTGGATGTAGGTGAACTACAGCTCCAAAACCAAAGACACTGCCCACCAAACCCTTCCAGTATTTTCTGTTGGTCATGGGAGAACTGTGTGCCAAGCTTGGTTCAATTCCATCGTTGGTGGGGTTCAGAATGCTCTTTGATTGTAGGTGAACTATAAATCCCAGCAACTACAACTCCCAAATGACAAGGTATATTTTCCCCAAACTCCACCAGGGTTCACATTTGGGCATATCAAGTATTTGTGCCAAGTTTGGTCCAGATCCATCACTGAGTCCACAGTGATCTCTGGATGTAGGTGAACTAGAAATCCCGGGAACTACCACTCCCAAATGACAAAATCCAAAGACAAAACGTTCAGTGACGACCTCATATGCCTCCTGGCCTCCCCCCCTACCCATTCATAATCCAAGGCTGAAAAAAGGGACAAATCCAGGAGACAGTTGCTTGCTTTTAATGGATGACATCTCATTTGCGCCTGGGTGAATGTGGCGAGTTGTGTTCCTTTTCTTGATTGACTTTTAATTACTCTACTTGGAAAACCTTTCACCCTAATTTGAGACACCTTTCAAACTGAAACACCTCCTGACACTTTGCAAGAGCGGAAGATGTTTGCAGCAGGGCTGTTATCCTGCTTGCCGAATTATTTCCAAGCCACAGAGAGAATGGCAAGCTGGCTTAACCTGTTCTGAATCCAGTCTTTCCTGCTGAGGAGTAGTCACCTCCATGTGGCCTCTTCCTGTTTGTGTGCATGTGGTGCTGTTGTCTTCCTCTGTTCTTTATAGAGCAGTGGTTCTCCACCTTCCTAATACTCTGACCCCTTAACACAGTTCCTCATGTTGTGGTGACCCCCAACCATCACATCATTTTCGTTGCTACTGCATAACTTTCATTTTCCTATTGTTATGAATCTATATAAATAAAAATGTAATGTTCGTTTGTGGGATTAAAATGACTCCGAAACCACTGGACGAATTGACACGAAATTTGGACAGTACACCCCTAACAGACCAATGAGTGTTCATCGCCCCTAAAATTACAACAACAACAAAAACCAACAAAAAAAAACCCAGCAGAACGGACTTAAAAACCCCAAAAATGCACCATCTATATAAATAAAAATGTAATGTTCATTTGTGGGATTAACAGAACTCAAAAACCACTGGACGAATTGACACCAAATTTGGGCACAAAACACCTAACAACCCAATGTATGTTCTTCACTCAAAAAAAATGATTTTGTAATTTAGGAGTTGTAGTTGCTGAGATTTATAGTTCACCTAAAATCAAAGAGCATTCTGAACTCCACCAAAGATAGAATTGAACCAAACTTGGCACACAGTTCTCCCATGACCAACAGAAAATACTGGAAGGGTTTGGTGGACAATGTCCTTTGGTTTTGGAGTTGTAGTTCACCTATATCCAGAGATCACTGTGGACTTAAACAATGATGGATTGAACCAAATTCTACACGAAGACTCAATATGCCCAAAAGTGAACACTGGTGGAGTTTGGAGAAAATAGAATCTTGACATTTGGGAGTTGTAGTTGCTGGGATTTATAGTTCACCTACAATCACAGAGCATTCTGAACCCCACCCATGACAGAATTGGGCCAAACCTTCCACACAGAACCCCTAGTGGGCCACAGCAACGTGTGGCAGGGGACGGCTAATTAATATCTATATCTATCTATCTATCTATCTATCTATCTATCTATCTATCTATCTATCTATATACACACACACATCAGGTACATATACACATGCACACATACATACACATGTGTATATATATACCCAAGCACACACAAATATACATGCACAAACATCTACATACACACACAAACATCTACACACACACACATATACATATACACATGCACACACAAATATACACATGCACACATATAAACACAAATATGCATATAAACAAGCACACACATATACACAATCTACATATACACATATAAACACACAAATATATAGACACATATATACACATCTTCACACACACATATGCACACACATATATACACCCACACACATACACATGTGTGTGTGTGTGTATATATATATATGCAAACACACACATATATACACAGATACACAAATATATAAACACATATATAAGGTAAAGGTTTCCCCCTGACATGAAGTCCAGTCATGTCCGACTCTGGGGTGTGGTGCTCATCTCCATTTCTAAACCGAAGAGCCGGCTTTGTCCGTAGTCACCTCCAAGGTCATGTGGCCAGCGTGACTGCATGGAGCACCCTTACCTTCCCGCCGGAGCGGTACCTATTGATCTACTCACATTTGCATGTTTTTGGACTGCTAGGTTGGCAGAAGCTGGGGCTGTCAACCTAGCAGTTCAAACCTGCGACTTCTTTCATCCCTCCCATCCATCCATCCATCCTCCCTTTTGTCCTCCCTTCCTTCTCTCTTTCCTTCCTTCCTCCTTCCCTCCTTTCCTCCTAGCAGGGAGTGCTAGCTTGTGGCCTCCAAGTTTGAATGTTTGCCCATGCCTATCTTAAATGTATTCTGGGTTGAGGTTGCTGCAGGATCAATGTGCCAGGGTGATACAAAAAAGTTGAGTTAGTCTGAAGTCATTGACTTGCTGGTTCCTTGTTTCTCAGGTCACTAGAAAAGGAATATGGCTCAAGAAACCAACCATAGCCAAGTGCCTATGCTTTGTTCCACTGGATGCGGATTTTATGGAAACCCTCGTACGAACGGCATGTGTTCAGTATGCTATAAAGAACATCTCCAACGGCAGAATGGTAGTAATGGTAGAATTAGCCCACCAGGTAAGTGTAGATTAGGTCTTCCTAGGCTAAATGTTTACCCAGGGGGCAAAGTGGAGACAAAGAGCCTGACAAAAATATATATTTCTGTAATAATGTTTGCCCCACAATGTCTTCTAGGGCACACGGGAAGCATTTCAGGGTTCAGATCTCTGTTCTGCCATGGCAACCCACTGGGTGACCTTAACAACAAAAACAACAACAACAACAACAACACATATATATATGTAAAATATATTTATATATGATATATATAATATTATAATGTAATGCTATCTAATAATAATAATAATAATAATAATATGATATCATAATTATATCTTTATATTACATGTAATATTACTAATAATATTACGATTTAGTGGTATGGTGCAATATGGCAATGTTTAATGCTGATATTGTACTATGCGCCCTCCAGCCAAATATATATTTCTGTAATAATGTTTGCCCCACAATGTCTTCTAGGGCACACGGGAAGCATTTCAGGGTTCAGATCTCTGTTCTGCCATGGCAACCCACTGGGTGACCTTAACAACAAAAAACAACAACAACAACACATATATATATGTAAAATATATTTATATATGATATATATAATATTATAATGTAATGCTATCTAATAATAATAATAATATGATATCATAATTATATCTTTATATTACATGTAATATTACTAATAATATTACGATTTAGTGGTATGGTGCAATATGGCAATGTTTAATGCTGATATTGTACTATGTGCCCTCCAGCCAAATATATATTTCTGTAATAATGTTTGCCCCACAATGTCTTCTAGGGCACACGGGAAGCATTTCAGGGTTCAGATCTCTGTTCTGCCATGGCAACCCACTGGGTGACCTTAACAACAAAAACAACAACAACAACAACAACAACAACAACACATATATATATGTAAAATATATTTATATATGATATATATAATATTATAATGTAATATAATGCGATATAATATTATTAATAATATTATATTATAATTATATATTTATATTACATGTAATATTACTAATAATATTACGATTTAGTGATATGGTGCAATATGGCAATGTTTAATGCTGATATTGTACTATGCTAATAATCTATATAAATAAAAATGTAATGTTCGTTTGTGGGATTAACATAACTCAAAAACCACTTTGTGATTTGACACCAAATTTGGACACAATACACCTATCAGGCCAACGAGTGTCCATCACTCATAAAAACATTGAAAAACACAGTAGAAAAGACTTAAAAAGCCAAAAAACAAAAAGAAATCCCCATTACAATGCATGCACAAAACCACATATATACACAAACACACATACACAAATATATACACACACATATATGCATATATATACACACAAAACACATATACACACAAAGGGGGAAGAAAGGAAGGAGAGAAGAAGCGATAGAAAGAGGGAAAGAAGGAGGGAAAGAGAGAAGGAAATAAAAAAAGTGAAAGAAGAAAGGAAAAAGAGGGAAGGAAGGAAAGAAGGAACAAAAGAAATAAAGAGGGAAGGAAGGAAAGAAAGAGGGAAGGAAGGAAAGAGAGAAGGAAGGATAGAACCAAAGAGCAAAGGAAGGGAGGAAAGAAACAGGTAGAGAAGGAAGAAAGAAAAAGGGAAAGTAGAAGGGAAAGAGGGAAGGAAGGAAAGAGGGAGGGAAGGAAGGAGAGAAAGAAAGGAAAGAGGGAGGAAAGGTTTGGCCAGAGTCACTTATAAAAACACTGAAAAACACAGTGAAATAGACTTAAAAAGCCAAAAGAAAAAATACAACGCATGTGCATAACCACATAAATACACATATACACAAATATATAAATACACACATATACACATATATACACACACAAAACACATATACACAGACTGGCCCACAGCAACGCGTGGCAGGGGACGGCTAGTATATTATATTGTATGTAATATATACCTTGTAAGCTGCTCTGAGTCCCCTTCAGAGTGAGAAGGGCGGCATATAAATGTCGTAAATAAATAAATAAAAACAACAACAATAATATATTTTGTTTATATTCCACTCTATCTTACCTGAGGGGACTCAGGGTGTATTACAGTACACATATATGGCAAACATTCAATGCCGTTATACAATTAACAAAGACAATATAGTACATAAACAGAGGTAAAGGCTTCCAATCTTTTTCCCTCTTCGGCACCTGGAGGCTGTGCTCAACTCCGGCCACAAGGGGTGCTGTTGCTCCATCTTCTGTTCCGAGGAGCTTTGTTGTCATTAGACACTTTCCTGATCGAATTACCAGCATGTCTGCGTGGCCGCCTTTTATGACCTCCCCACCTATTTCTCTACTCATATTACTGTTTTCGAACTGCTAGGTGAGCACAAGCTGGGCTGATGTTTGGGAGCTCACCCCAACCCGATCTTGAACTATTGAACTATTGATCAGCAAGATTTTGTGCAGCGGGCGGTTTAACCCGCTGTGCTAAAGTCTGACCCTTACATCTCTTTCAGCCCCAGAGGATGGCAAATCCCGTAGGATAGGTTTTGCATTTGGATCTCTGTAATTCAGAAGTGACTTGAAGGCACACAATAAGAAGTACTATCTATAGCAGTGGCTCCAGAAGAACTAAATATGGTCCGTGGCCTCACCTTTACTACACCATTGCAACGAGAGAGACTAGTATCGCGAAACCCTCTTATAGTGCTAAACCTTATTAAATATCATTTTCTGTGAGGGACCAGATGACAACTATTGGATGGCATATGTTCTGTATCAGAAGCTAGAGCTGATGTAGTCTATCCAATACAATTTTCTGAATCAGCAACCCAAATAACCAGACAATCCAAAGTTGAAAGTTCCCAAAACTCCACCAGTGTTCACATTTGGGCATATTGAGTATTTGTGTGGAGTTTGGTCCAGATCCATCATTGTTTGAGTCCATAGTGATCTCTGGATATAGGTGAGCTACAACTCCAAAACCAAAGGACACTGCCCACCAAACCCTTCCAGTATTTTCTGTTGGTCATGG